GAGTTTGCAACTTGGAATCTCGCCGCAAGCGGTGCCATACAGAGATCTCCGCACGAAACTGTCAAGCTCAAAAGCCGAAACTGGCAATCCTCAAAGCCTTAGAGGCACGAAGGCTAAACCCTAAGCATTGAACCCCAAAGCCCGGAGCTTGGTGAGGTTTCAGCCGACCTCAAAGCGGAGCTGCAAGCGCTGCGCGAGACGGTGCCGGGAATTGCTGTCGGGGATTGGTTTAGGGCTTGGAGCTGCAATGGTTTATGAGGGTTTATGTTTCAAGCAATCACGTAGGGTTGTTAAAGGGTTCGGGATTCAAGGCATGTGGAGCATTAGCTTTACTGGCTCGAAGTTGCAGGTTCAGGGCTTGAGCGTTTAGGGGTTTACGGGTGCAGCAGGGTTTTGGTAAAGGGTATGTTGGTTCGCGGCTTGAGGGCTTGGGTTTCGGGCTCTCCGAGTGGGGTTTCCGCACTTGGGCTGAGCTTTTTTTCTGGCTTCAGCAGTGCAGCAACCTCGTAGTAGCCCTTCTAGTAACCCTGATTATGGTATGTGGCATAGTAGCCCCTAAAGTAATTCGTGTAGCTTTACGGCAACCCTTAGCAGTGTATAGTCCGCACTTGCCTCAAGTGAAGCGGACGTTTGAAGGAAGCCTCTGTCGGAGGAGGGATTTTTTTGATAGCGTACGAACTTGACTTGACTAAAGTACCCCCTAGCTTAGGGTCTATCCTGCTTGTTTAAGGACATATGTAAGAGATTCATGTTAAGGAACCCTACAACAGCAGGTTATTTGCGTCCACATTTAATTGTAGGACTCAGTTCGCGAGGCAGCCTAAGCCGCCGTAGACTCTTGCTTGGTTCAGGGTCTACGGTGAGAGGTTTAGGGTCGTCACCGTATAAGATTTAGGGGTGGTCGTTTCAACCCTGAGCCCTTAAAACTCCAATTACCCTAAACCCTGTAAGCCCAAGGAGCTCAAAGGCGGCTCCTTATTATAATCATAGTATAAATGGGCCCTAAAACCCTATTCTAATTACATATTAAGGCCCCTACATTGCAGCTGAAAATCGCTGGAGCCGCGAAGTCGTTGCTCCGAGCTGTTACAGCATGAGATTCCCTGGGTGGTGAACTGTACAAGCCCGAAGATGAACTTCCGCAAGCCCTAAACCATCTTAAGCCTCAACCCTGAACATCGAGCGTTACACCCTGAAACCCGAGCATCCCACTACTTGATTTTCCTTTTTTATGTGTCTGTTTTTGGGCCCCGCTTGCAGGTGGACAAGCACGAGAAGATGTTGAGGCCTGGAGCCAGAGAGGGGGCGTCAGATTGAGCTGGGGCACTGCTGCGAACTTTTTGCCGGTTGAGGCTGAAGCACTCGTATCTGGTTTAGGGTGTTAGAACATGTTTTGGTACTTCCGAATGCAATTTCTTAAAGACTACGTCCACGTACTATTTCGAAGTCCATTAAAGCATAAATGCAGTACATGCACTCTCCCCCAAAGTACCAAAAACCAAAAGCTATGGCACACAAGAATCAAACCTGGATTCCAGATATGTGATGGACCGCTACGTGGAGAAAGATTTGCGCTCGACCCCGCAGACCCAACAGGGCGGCGTGCAGGCATCGCTGCGGGTTTACGGCTCAAGGGTTCAGTGTTCAGGATTTTGGGTTTGAAGGTGTAACCTTAGGATACTTGTTTGGGGTGTATGCAAAGCTGGTATCCATTGAGTATATGCGTATTCTGGGTGTTGTGCCGCCGTATCGATACCGTATTAACTGCCCCATCGCGTTTGATCTATGCCATTACGCCATGGTAGAACGGTGGATGACATGTTCTTATGCTTAGTCGAATTTTGCCTGTTGCGAAGGGCGGTGTGATGATGCTGTCACGCTGCCATCATCTTTGAGACTGACTAGTTAAGGAGCAGGTGCTAGTAGAGCTGCGGGCTTGTGAGGGCGAGTTCGCGAAGCACATTTCGATTCGGCACTGCATGAACCTTCCCTGAAATTCTGAAGCCTTTGTTTTGACGCTTGAACCAAGCTCGAACTAGACACAACTTCGAGTCTGAAACCCCAACCGTAAATACCAAACTCCTCAACTCCAAATCTGTAAGCATAGCGATCAGCTCGAAGCCGAAACCTCAAAGCCCAAAACGTCGAGACTTTAGTCCGACATCTACTCAGCACCAAACCGCCCCCCAAAAAACTCCTTCAGCCGCTTTCCTCTTCAAGGTCCATGGCAGACCCTCTAGAGTTAAGCCATGCACCAGTTAAATCGAGCAGCCGGCAGCCCGAAACCCTGAACCTTCATACACCCCAAGCCCCGGACCTTGAAAGTTATGCAACCCGAAACACGATTCCCTCGTAGTACCAGTATCCATGATAGAACCCTTCAATGGGACCCTAGACGATCAACTCTCAACGCTAAATCCGTATAGAACCCCTATTCAAAAACACAGCGACTTCAGGCCTCTGTGGTGAACGCTTCCCAGAGCGGCGCCCCCGCAGTGGCTGAGGTGAAGAGCGAGGCGGTGTCTTTCTTTCTTTTACATGTTTTACCAAGGGTTCGGGGTTTAGGGTTCAGGGTTTAGGGAAGTTCTTCATTTTTTTGGAGTTCCGAAAATGGGGGTACCGAAAATGGGTGTAGGGTTGAGGGGTATGCATTTTGTACCAGACCTGTTAACAGTTGAGCACCCCAACAAAGATGTGCTGCCCTCAGGTTCAGAGGGGGCCCTTTCTTTCTGAATGACACCGTTCTACCCAAACCTTTTTTGACACATGATCAACCGAAGAAGGGGATCCTACGATCTTATTTGTGGGTTGAGACAGTGCCTTTTCCTGGGTATCTATGTTTGAGATATGTTTAGCACGTCTGCGTGCATGTTCACTAGGTTTTTAGATTGTAATGCGCTTTGATGGGGCTGCGATTCCTAAGAATTCAACGTTGACGGCTTGAAGATTAGTTTCATGGAGCCTGCTCTTAGCTGGTGTTATTTTCAACTCGAGTTCTGCGTCGCATTACAGAAATAGTTTCTTGTTTCGCATGGGGTTATCCAGCTCTTCCACCGAAATTGCAATATCATCATTAATCATGAGTGTGATAATGACTATGGTTGATGACGATGATGATGGTGATAGTGATGGTGGTGGTGATGATGGTGATGTTGATGATGATGGTGATGATGGTGGTGATGAAGACGTTTACGACGATCATGATGATGTTGGAGGACATTTGAGAGTTCTTCCTGTTGGGCGGCAGATGCAAGGGTTAGCGCTTAAGTTTTTTGAGGGTTCAGGTTCTTGGTTCTGGTAGCCTTGCAGTGGTCTTTCATGATTGTGTCGTCCTCATCGCGCTGTGTCCGTGTCATGGGTTCGTGGTTAAGGGTGGACTGTAAGCCTATAGATTCGAGGCTTGGGCTTTTCCCGTTCTTGGTGCTTCAGGGTTCGTAGTCTACGGTGTTTAGATTGAGGATGAAGCGGCACATTCTCAGCGTCCCTCTCGGATTCTAGCGCTGATACATAACACCAGGGATCATCCCGCCAAGACGTTGTGAGGAAGGTTTTCCTCAGCTGCAGGCCCTCTGGCGTACTCATAGATCTCGGCCGAAGCCAGGAGAATCTAGGGCCTAAGTCACTAGAACCTTTAATGCTAACCTAGGCGGATGGAAAGGAGTACTTAAGAAAGGTCCTTAGAACCGGAAACCCTAATTCCACAGACTTTCGTCGCCACAAGCCAAGCCCTTGTCAGGCGCGTGCAGGCCGAGCCGGGTTACATGATGCATCGGTGTCTTGCAGCCTCGAACCATAACCGTGAAGCCCCAAAACCTCTATTCCACAATCCCCAAACCCAGAATCACCAAAACCTTAAGCCCTAAACCCAAAGCGCTTAGCCCTGCAAAAATCCTTCTTACAAGCCATAGACTCGACAGTCTTGGCGGGAAATCGTTCAGGATTCATTCACTGTTCGACATGGCCCCGAAAGCTTCCTTGAAACCCCTGGCTATAGGGCGTTTTGGGTTAATGTTGGTACTAGGCTCTGGAGTTTAGCGTGTTATGTGCTGAACGCTGCGGCGCTGTAGACAACCTGCAGCCCTAAACACTCCCTAAATAATATACCGAACCAGGCATCGAGCTAGAGATTGAAAGTCCAGACTTCAAGCACTGCCCAAAACTTACGATCAAAAGCACTGAAGACACCCTCTTTTTAGAGTTCATACAGCATTGAAATCTATATCAAACCTGGAAGAAGTCTCCATGGCTGCAGCTAGCAGTTGTCCTTTGTCTGGCTGTTTGACATGCTTGGGGACCATGTCGTTTGGATTTGTGTAAGTTGACCTGAATCGTTTCAGCTCTTTGCGGGTTTCGCGCTCGGTTCCCCTGGCACAGACCTTGCGTTTGTTCTGAAAAGGGTTAACTGGAACGACTCTCTAAGTGAGGGGCTCATTGGCTTTGGTCCTTTGCTTGGCCACAAGATTGCTCTGCACGTCTTGGCAGTGCCAGTCCCACGACCCAAGATAAAACTGACAAAACAGAACCTGCATTGGGGACGACGTACTGAACTGCTTCTACTGGGGGTCCCAGCGTGCGGAGCAATATGTGTTTCTTCTTGGTTCAGCACATCTAAAAAGCATCTCGCTGCACCTATTACTACTTATTACTGACTTGAGGTTGGTGCCCTTGCACCTTCTCTGGCGTTTTGGAGCGCAGAAGTACAGTAGTTAGCTGGGCATCCGCATCTATGGCTGCTGGCCGACTCTGTGTTCCTGCTTTTCTGCTTTATAGAGCTCGTGCTCGTGGCAGTGGCCGTTGTCGAGATAAAACAGAGCCCCGGTGGTGCAATCTACATTGATTCGCTTGGCATTGGTGCCGCCAGTTGGGCGGTTGTCCTTTGCCCTTTGTTCCTTAGCAATTTTGTTCACCCACCGCAACTGCTGCAAGTACGTGATGGAGCTGGAATCGCTGTGTCGTCTGCAAGCTTGCTTCAGGTCTTCAGTCCAGAATTTCCCTCACGGATGGCCCGTTCAATATTCGCAGTCTTGCGGGGTATCTGCAACATCAGCTTCATTGTCTACAACTTTGTGACTGTGCCACCCAGGAACTCGGAAGAGCATTTGAACATGTCCAAGCACATTGTTGCATGGTTAGAACTCCCGATATGTATTGGTTTTGCCTTTGCCTTGCACCAGGTTTTTCTTGTGGCGGTGTTTGGGCGCCCCCGGGCTGCAGCGTTGCTGTCAAGCAATGTTAGAAGTTGTGCGGATTTCTCCCTGATCCGTGTTCTTCCAATGGCCAATCCGCTAACCTTGGCCAAACATATTCGCCCGATTCTGCAAAACGGCTGGTATTGGATGGCACTGGGGCAATTCCTCGTCACGCTTTGGCTTTTACCAGCTGCAGTTCTATGTGTCGTTATAAAAGTGGAGCAAGTCGATTTCATCGCTACTCTGCCCATCCCGGAGTGGTCACCATGGGAATTCTTTGCACTGGCTGGCTTCATCAACAACCTGTCTGGGATTAGAGGAGACACCGACCTTCTCAAAATGTACGGAGCATTGCGGTTGAGACGCGGTACTGAGGAAAATGAAGCCCAGCTAAGGGTACACCTTGTGCAGTGGAGGCGAGAACTTGTCGAATTCAATTCGAGCCTCTTCGGATTTTTTGCCGCCGTCGGTATTGACCTCTCTCTGAGCGCCGATGACATTTGTAAACTATCTTCGGCCGCTGAGAGTCTTTGCGATGGTGATGTCCTTAACTCCAGCGCGACCAGATTGGGAATACCTACCACTGAGTGACCTGCCGAACAGGGCAGCAAACCCATACAGGACTCTGAAGGAGCCAGAATGCATTACCGCCGTGGTGGCTTTTCCTAAAAGGCCGAGCTTCACCATTTTATCGTATTTACCATTATAGTCTCCTCAGCGCACTGCTGGCGCAAGCTTCATACTTTGCGTCTCTCACGATGGCGAGAACCCTCATATTGAGAGCCTAATACTAGCAGCTATCATTTGCAACCAGCAGGCTACTCCTCCTCAGGTCCTCAAGGGAGACCTTCTTGGAGGAAGGACATTGGATTTCTTTCCATCTCCGGCAAAGCTGGACAAGGGTCTTGCAGTGCTCATCTTCGGAACCGACAACCAAACATTGCTGAAGCCTGAAATTCTAGATAGAGGCAGAGAGTGGGCTGTCAATCCTGGCAGCCCAGGTCCATTTTCCGCCGCTTTGCTCGAGATCGATTTGGCGTTTAGAGTCGGACGTTTGTTACCAGCATGCCCCAACAAGCAACCTAAATTACAAATACATTCACCATCGTCTTTTAGTATTCCTCACCTTCCAAATTCCCGAAATCCGAAACCTGTCAATCCCCAAGCCCCACGGCCCCTGATTTGTGAGACCTTAAACTGCTGCACCTTCTACTTCAGGAACTTCATTAGAGTTGTCCGAAGGTGTGCGAACGAGGTAGTGAGAGAAGCATGCCCTGCGTATGATAGGTTTCTAGATGCGGATGGGTGGATCGGGCCAGAGCATTGGACATGGGCGCATGTGTCCAGCATGGTGTTGTGTGCGCAGCATTTTGCAAACCCGAAACGGTCAACCATCAGTCCTCATCCCTAAACCAGTTCAATCTTACATCCTAAACCCCACGCCCTCCAACATTCTGCATTTTCCACTTCGCATCCGACTCGGCTCTTCCAGGCGATGCACCTCGGAAACGGAAAGCTGGAGGGGTGTGGCGCCCGACACGCTGGATCTTTCAAGAGCCTCTACCGGCAATCCCAGAGCCCAACCCATCCTCCTTCCGAGGACACCTCGATGGTGGGCATGCCGCAGCCCGAATCCGCAGCCACGGCTGAGGTGGCATGCCAGTAGTCAATCGTGGCACTAGAAAATGCCGATGCAGCAGAGAGCATTAGCCACATTAGCGTGGCCATATTGATAACCAAAGCCATGTGCGGAATATCAGCACGATGATTCGAATACCGCTGCCAACGGTGATTAAATACGGTCATGACACAATGTAGTAGCTGCTCGGATTTTGGTTCTGAGTTTCGGTACCGCGGGCAGCGTTCGCAGCCCTGCATGGTTTGGATGAGCGGAATTTGCGGCGCTATTTAAGAATACCGTCAAGGCGCTAGGCAACTCATGTAAGGATCTCGACTGCAGACTCTCCGAAGCTACTGCATCTCCTAGATTCCCGAGCACCCCATCGTCTTCGACTGCATAAAGAGCGGCCTTGTCTAGATCATGTGTGGTTAGTGGGGTTTTAGGGCTCACGGTTTTGCGGTTTCAGCTGGTCCGGGAAGCCCGGGGTACTAGTTACTAGTGGTTGTCCAAGTACAAGGGTGTGAATGCAGAGGAACAAGCCCGTAGAGAACCCCAGGCTCGAAAAGGGCTCGAGACCTAATGTTTTGCTGCACCGTGCCCGCATACGAGCATTGAGCTGGCCTCATTTAGCGACATTCGCCATTCGGTCAAGCAGTAGATTAACTTTTGTCATCATGCTTTCCACGAAATCCTTAGCCCCTATGGGTCCGCACGTGTGTGCGCTTTGGGGCAATCACGAAACCTCGATTTGGACAAGCTTCTCGTGCGAGAAGACTGCCAGGCGACCGCGGCCTCCGACTGATCTTCACCGCCTGCCCAATTTCTGCTACCAGAAAGCTCTAAGCACCGAAACGCTTCTCTACACTCTGCATTCAGAAGGAACTTATAAGGCTTAGAGTGTAGGGTCTGGTGTGTGTGCGCGTGTCTGTACATACATATATATACATATATATATATATATATATCTATCTATCTCTGTGTGTGTATATATGTACGTGTATACTACACCCTAAGCCCACTTATCTAGACCGCCAGAGCCTGCAAGCAACGAAGCAACTCGTAGACGGAGGGGAACAGCTCCACTCCCAGATCAGGGCTTGTCCTTTTCGGGCATGCAGAGACTGCTCACTTCTTGACTGAAGAGCCCCAAACCCCGAAACTTAGGGGTTTTGGGCGGAAGGATTCTGTCTGACCCTGCGCCTTGTGGGTGCAGGGTTTCTTCGTAGACATCCTCGATCCTGAACCCGAAATCCCTTACACCCTAAACCCTGAATCATCTGACTGCCTTCACAAAAGCTCTAAATCCTTGAGCTGCCTTTGTTTAAACGACATGGTAAAACCGCGTAGAGAAGCTTCTAGTACGCAGCTTCTCAAACAAGTTCCCTCTACAAAGTTTCATAAGGCACCATTCATGTTGCAAAACCGGCAGCCAAAATGGAAAACCTCTCTAAAACGCACAGAGAAGCCTGTAAGACCCCTTTTTCCATCTCTGTAAGATACCATGTTTTACGCCGTCAGGCCCAAGCCGAAAAGGAAGGCCCTTCTTAAAGCGTAGCTCGAGCAGCGACTGTAGAGTCGCTTGCCACGGCCGGGGGTCCTCTGTACCCACCTCCCAGGGTTCTGCTACCTGGACCCTAAGGAACCTGCGTTTTTAGGGTTCCCTAATGTGATTTCTTTGTATAAGTCCTTAAAAAGGTAGGTTACTCGGGGTTAAGGTAGCGTTACATCGGCTAACCATTGATATTGGAGGAGCTACGGAGCCAGGGGTGATGATAATCCCTACTTAATAAGGAGCTAAAGAGCCAAGGGAACCCCAAAACATCCCAAAACCATTGGTTTGCCGGGGTTTCGGACTCCGCTGTAACGTTTGGGGTTTAAGAGAGGTTTCTACATAATTAGAGATTTATACGGGATGTTACGGGTTTCATAAGCTTTTACATGCGTTTGCAGGGATCGTAGGGGGTTCTATACGGGTGACAGTCAGGGCAAACAAAGCGATACTACAAGCGACACTGTAAAGATGGTTCTGGGTTACAAAAAGGTGAGGAAACGACTTACTATAAGGGCGAGTTTGCGACAAGGGTTCTGGCAAGGATCACTCTAGCATTCGGGCCTTCGTGCTGTAGCAGTTTAAGGTGAAGGATATGTTTCCGCTTGAAGTATTCTATTCCAGATTTTTGTGTCAGCACAATTATGACCAGCAGAAGCAATACTGGCATCGGCGGACAGCTTTGGTGATACTCCCATGTTGTCAATTGCAGCATGCTTGGCCGTACTTGCATTATCATCCCGAACCTTAAGTGTAATCCTGAAGCCTTCTAATATGGAGGCCTTAATAATTGCCTCTACCCTTTTGGGGGCTCCTTGTCATAATGATAGTATAGTGGGTCCAAAAGCCCTATTCTAGTTAGTAAGGCCACTAGAGTAAGCAGTACAAGACTAAACTTTCTAAACCCTCAGGCTTCGACCCAAAAACCAAAGCCGTGGAGCTAGGGAGCCACGACCGAGCCGGCCTTTCCTCGTTTCACCCGACAGTGCTTTAGGCAAAAAAAGGCTATGGGTCACTCAACCCACAGAACTGTTTAGGGTCGAGGGTCTTGTTCAGGGTGCAACGTAGAGTTGGGGGCTGAGCATGGGGCTAAGGATTCAGGGTTTAGTACAGGTGTGTGTGTGTGTGCGTGTGGGTCCAGGTTTCGGGCAGGCAGGTAGGGTTTACCGGGTTCAGCATCCAGGGGTTGGAGTGCGTCGATCCCGACAAAGCTAATCTCTACCATCAGTGTGCATAAGCCCAAGTACCCGCCTTAGTCATAACGTCCCCTTATGAAATACTATACCCCAAATGGATTACTCAGCTAACGCTTGCTTACTATCCGGAGTCATCCCGTCCACCTGAAACCGGAATCCTCCATCGCCATGTCATGTGCGATCTGTAACAAGGGGCTCAAGACTCTGCGCAGCGCCCTGCGGAGACAGCGCCACATGCCTGTGACGTCTAGGGTGAAGGGCTACAGAGTGTCTGGGTAGGTTGTGTGCCGGCGCCGCTGTCCCCTAAAGGTTGGTTTCTATAGGGCGCAATAGCGTTAATTAGGGTTTGGGATCTAGAGTTTAGGGTTTGGCATTCAAGGAATTGGGCGAATTGGGGTACGGAGAGTTCGGGGATTAGTGTGTGGATCCGTGTGGATATTGAGGGTACCGCAAGCATAGGGGTAAGGATTTGGGACACTCAAGGCTGACGGAGGGTGTTCTTCCCAAGGCCTCAGTCTCAGTGAGAATATATATCTCCGGCAATTTGCGTACATGGCAGTGGCAGAGTTTTCTGTGCTTTGCGGGTCGACGAGGATTCCGAGCGTTTCGGCTGTTTTGGGAAGTCTTCCAACTTAACCCCAAACCCGCAAACCATCAACCCTCAAGCCTAAACCCTGAATCCCTGAACCTTAAACACTTAACAGTCATGGCCGTACGAGTACTATAGGAGGCTAAACAATTACCAATACTATTTTGGGGGTTCCTTATTATAGTTATAGTATAATGGGCCCCCAAAGCCCCCAAACCCAAATCCAATTATCAAGGCCCTATATAAAGCACCCAAAATACCCGTTATAGTACTCCTTATAGACCCCTTTAAAAGGAACTCTTGAAGGAATCCTATTCTAATTATCATGGTCATGGCCCTACTAGTACGAGCATAGCCGCCTTTTTCCGAGGTCATGGGGGGCGAAGGCGGCTTCGGCAAGGGCGGCTTCGGCGACAAGGGCAAAGGCATCCTCGCAACCCCCAAAAAATAGAGCCCTTATTGTATCATTATAGTACCCCTTTAAAGGAACCCTATTCTGATTCTTAAGGCCCCTGTATCATAGAGCCCTTATTGGATTTAGGGTTTTAGGGTTTAGGGTCTAGGGGTTTAGGATTATAGTATCCCTTATAGTAACCCTTATATAGCGCCCTTTAAAAGGAGTATTCTAATTCTTAAGGGCCCTCCTTCACGAACCCCCTACCGTGGCTTTACCAAAGTGTTCACTGGATCTGTATCCGGGGTATGTGGGAGTAGCTCACAGTAGCAGCCAAATCTATCATGGGCGGCCTTGTTGAGAATACTACGTAGAAGTTGCTGCCTTTGAGAGGGCTGGCTGCTCTGGCCAAGCCAACCCCTTCGAGAATAAGCATGAATCTACAAGCCCCTGTAAACCTGCAAAGAAGCACTATTAAAAATCAGACAGCCCTGTTGAAATTCCAACCAGTCTTAAACACCAGGATGGATCCTTTCACCCGCATTGCATCAACCCCTGCTTCAAATCCAGAGTTCCTGCGCGAAAGTCCTGAGATTCGGTGTTTTGGGTATTGGATCGAAACACCAAAAACCTCCAGGCACAAAGTACCAAACACAAGTCAAGGACCCTAAAACCCCAAGCAGTCCCCTGAACAAGACGTCACCGGAGCTCCTACTATGCCTGCGACGGAAAGCGCTGTTTTTGCTGCTGCAAGGCAAGGTTGCTGCCTGCCACTATTAACGAGTCCTCCTCCTCCTCCTCCTCCTCCTCTCCTCCTCCTCCACCTGCTGCCAACCATTTCCACTCCTCCTCTGCCCTGCTACCACAGCCACCGCAAACAACAAAACAGCATCCAAGTTGGTCACAGTGTTGTGGGTTCTTATTCTTTCTGCGATTACTAGTTTCCGAGCTTCCTAGCAGGGAGCCTCAAAGTGAGCCTGCACAGACGAGGATCCGGACGGTCGTAAATCGTAGAATCAGAATCATGCAGAAACTAGCCAGGGATGGGTAGCGATTGCATGACGGGATGTTAGGGTTTATGGTTCGGAGTTTAGGGTTTATACTTCTGGTGTGTCAACGAATCAAGTCTTACTCCAGCGCCTTAGCAGCTCGTGTGCAGATCCCTTCTTGCAGGCAAGGGAAAGAAGGGCAAGGGCAAAGGCAAGGGCAAGGGGAAGCAGGAGGAGAAGCAATGGGCGACTTGGATGTCTCGGTCGTTAAGGTCCAAGGGTAAAAGGAGGGACCCTTAATAAGGATCCCTAGGTATATACCCTTAATATAGCTATTATAGACCCACTATATAGCCCACTATAGGGTAGGGGTCTCGTTTAAGGGTCCCTCCTTTTCCCCTTTGATAAGGGGTTCAGGGCTGTTGGTCTGGGGCCCGGGGCCGATTTGGGGGGAAGGGTCGGGAGTTTAGGATGCTCAATCAGAAGTTGTTTGGAGGCTTGGAAAGCTGTTGTAGGGGCGGTTTAGGGTTCAGGATTTGGGTGTAGGGTTTAGAGTTTAGGGTTTTAGGGTTTATAGGGATTAGGGTTGAGGGTTTCGGGTTTAGGGTTTCGGAACAGGGTTTCGGGTGCTTGTACTTCAGGTGCCGATGACGAAGCTCGGGCGCTTGGTGAACGATGGGAAGATCACGAACCTTGAGGCCCTCCTCTTAAGGGGTCTTCAAGGTCAACGGGGGTTCAGGGGCCTCGACTAGAAGGTTTTACAGGGCTTTTGCGAGGATTTGTGACGGGTATATAGGATCTTTAACATTCTTTAACTGAGTCTTGCAAGAGTTTTAGAGGGTTTCGCGAGGATTTGTGACGGGTTTATAGGGTCTTTAACTGAGTCTTGCAAGGGTTTTAGAACTAGGACCCAGAGTAAGCCCTTATTCCCTTTTTTGGGGTTCAGGTTCCCTTATAAACCCCTTTGAACCAAAAAGGGCACCCTTTTTATTACCAGGTTTCGGGTCCGGGGGCTCTCGGGTCCGGGGGCTCCGGAGCTCTGGGTTCGAGGGTCGTCGGGTGTGAAAGCCCGGAGGCTGGGTATTTGGGAACGGAGGGTTCGGCTTAAGGGTTTAGGGTTTAGGGTTTTAGGGGTTTAGGGTTTAGGGGTTTAGGGTTTAGGGTTTTAGGGGTTTAGGGGTTTAGGGTTTAGGGGTTTTAGGGTTTTAGGGTTTAGGGTTTACGGGTTTAGGGTTTAGGGTTTAGGGGCAGCGTAATACCGATATGGGAGTTTAACGGCCTTGAACCCAGCTGTTGAACTGTGCTTCATGTGCCTTCTGCCCAACTTTTTGCGAAACTTGATCTGCCAGGATGCGAGCCAGAGATGGTGCCGTGTTCCGAAGCACATAAGAGTTGACATTCTGTTGATGATATAAATCCTGCACTACCTTAAGGACCCCAAACTATGGGAATTATGGTATATTCCTTATTATGGGCAATGCAGGATTTATATCATCAACCGTTGTAAGGGTACAGCAGCGAAAGAAGTAGGTGCAGCATTGCAAAGAGGAGTTGCAAGAATAACGGATGGCAGAATAAAGTGGTACTGTCATGACCGCTATCACCAGAACTCCTAGTGACCGGAAGTTAACAGGATTACCATACCAACAAGCACAACATGCATAGCAGTAATGCAGCCGATGCGGCTGCGAATTATACCGTCAGAAGAATCAGCAAAGACGACGACAACGACGACGACGACTACTACTACACCTACTCCTGCGAATACTGCCGCTGCTGCGGCTACTGCTGCTATTGCCGCTGCCGCTGCTATTGCTCCTGCTGAAATTCTATAAGAACAGCAGTGGCAACGGTGATAGTAATCTATTATACGGATATATGATAGGGGCCTGAATGTTTAGGGTTCAGGGTTAAGGATTTAGGACAGGGTTTTAGGGTTTAGGGTTGAGGGCTCCTGGCTACTCATGGTCGTGACAACATCCAAGGGTAAAAGGAGGGACCCTTAGTAAGGACCCCCTAGGTATATACCCGTAATATACGTAGCTATTATATACCCGTTATATACCCCCATTATAGGCTAGGGGTCCCCCCTTTTTCCCTTTGACAACAGCCTTCAGGAGATCTACCTGCACTCCTTGCCCATCAAGGCGATCCTGGGGCGCTTTCCGGCGTCAAACCCCCACTGCCGAATAGGGGAGTTTCCGAAATATAGGGGGCCCTAGTATAGTAGCCTAAGTAGTAGGATCCTTTTTTCTAGGGACCCCAAAATAAGGTACCCCTCATTTTCGGAAACTCTGAAATCAATCTCCACAAATTCGGGAACTTGCTTGACTTGTGTATAGTGGGCACCAGAAAGTTGGAACATGGATTCAGGACGATTAGTGCTAGGATTCCCTTTACTTTACCTTAAAGGCATGAATGAGGACAACGATGTTCCGACTTTCTGGCTTCTACTGTAGGGCCTGGGTTTTGGAGCCTGAACTAGCCATGCTTGATTAGTTATGGGTTGTTTGTGACCAGTTGCAAGTTACACAGTCTCTGCACGAGATTTGCGTGGTTATTCTATACGGTTTCATTTGGGTTTCATATGGGCTTCCGCAGGGCAACACAGAACATCTTCCACCCCAACCTAGCAGCTGCACTGAATCTGTCCCAAGGCTCAACGAAATCAGCCCAGCACTCACTACCAGCGCTCTTTCAATCTCCTAAACCCTGAACCATAAAGCCCGGATAGTGAAACCCTAAAAGCCACAACCCCCAAAGCCTGTAACCCTCAAAGTCCTGACCTCATAGGCCCGTTATGCCTTACATACAGCTTGCATTGATAGCAACTCTTATATTGGCCCTTCTAGTCCCTAACCACCGTACTCTAGAACCCTTAAAGCCTCAAAACTCCGAAGCCTTAAGCCCTTATCCCTAAGAAGTAGTGGCAACCCTCATAGTACCTGTAGCACCGTCAAGCCTTAGAAGAAGTTAAACCCCGGAGACCAGGAGCCAGAGATCATCGACCACTTCTACCCTCCAGGCTCCCTGAAGGCCCGGTTTAGGGGCCTTTTGGGGTATAGGGGTTTAGGGCTTAGGAGCTTCGGGGTTCAGGGTTTAGAGGTTTAGGGTTTAGGGGTTTAGTTTCAGGGGTTTAGGGTTTAGGGGTTTAGGGTTTCAGGATTTCCAGGGCTAAATTCCAAGGGCTTTCATAAGGGTTACTGGAAAATAGTTCTATACTAATTTACTACTTGAGCTCTGAGGCTTTGGGTCTCCAAGGCTTTTCGGTTTTATCATATGGAAGCTGTAGACTTTCAGTGACTAGAAGGGCTCTGGGGCTTTAGGGCTTTAAGGGCTTCGGCTAAGGCTTATGGATTCGAGTCTCGCAGGCTCCCTGAATCTCAAGCCCTCGGCCCGGCTTTCCCAAACCCCTCTAGCTCTGAGGATCTAGAAAGTAGATCCCCCAATTTGGGGCCCTATACTACTAAGGGTACTTTATAAGAACCCCCATTAAGGGATCTACTTTTTGGATCCTCCCGGGGGTCTGGGTAAAGGCCCCTGTGCAGCGGGTTTCTCGAAGGATTGCAAGGCAGGGGGCTTCCAGTATGGATGCCTTTCACGATTGAGGCTGCGGACTTGGGGTTTAGAGCTTAGGGTTTTGGGGGAACCACTTCCCATGTTCTATTGCTAACTAATAAGACTCCCAGGGATTTTAAATGCAAAACATCGTTGGGTTCTAAGGGGCGGGGCGCTTACGCAAGTACAACTTCAGAGCCAGGATGAGGTGCTCAAGATCCACCCGGTGCAGAAGATGACCTCCGCAGGCACCCCGCTCCGCCCACGTCCCGTGGGCTTTAGGGTTTGGGGTTTAGAGGTTTAGGGGTTGCGGGTTTAGGGTTTAGGGGTTTAGGGTTTATAAGGTTTAATTTGGGGTTTAGGGTTTAGGGTTTACGGGTGTAGGGTTTAGGGTTTCGGTTTAGTTGCTGGTGAGCCTTGGTGACAGTGACGGCTAGACTTTCCTGATGAAGCCGTTATAGAAAGCACTCCAAATTTCCTGTGCTAGGTCGCCCCTACGGTAAGATACAGGGCTTTCGCGTTTGGGGTCCCCTTCTCAGGGACTGCATAGCCTCCTTGACTTAGCAGATACCCTTAAGTTAGGGCTGCGGCAGTCTCTTGCTTTCTGGTGAACGACGCAGTCCGTATAAACATGTTACCCCGATCACCAGGACCCTCCTTGTACCCTCATATAGGGGTATATGGCCCCAAATAATCTGGGCTTTGGAGTACCATACTTTATTACTTTTTTCTTAAAGGAACCCTTATGAAATAAAAGTTTATACTTTTTTCTCCCTGGTTACTTAAAAGCCCAGTAATGGGCATTTAGGGTCTAATAGAGGGTAGATGGAGGGTCTAGGCAGTATCTGTCGGGGTCGCTCCAGGGAGTTTGTTCCTTCAGTTGCTGGGCAAGCATGGCTCGTTCTTGGCGGTAGTCTATCGCGCAGTGTTCGTTAACGCGACGGTTGGAGTCACCGTTGTCGCTACTTTGACCGTATGCGGCGGTCAGCAGCTGTACTATTAATATGATTGCGACTGGTGGGCTGAGATCCAAATCCTGAGATACCGCTTTATCTACACTCCTAGCAAGCTCTGGAATCAGTAACAAGATGCCTGCATGCGTGTGCATGCACGAATACCTACGCATGAAGGAAGTTTCCTTTCCTGTGGAAGTCTTGGTGGTTCTGCAGGTCAGACGAACCGATTCGTCTGCTACGTGCTGGTGGGTGACACGTAGCTTGGCTCACCCCGAGATCGGATTTTTCAAGGGAAAAGTTCTGAACCATGAACTAGTAATAGTTTTCCTTGGAGGCCCCGTGTAATCATGCTATAATGTACCACGTAATCCCGTTCACATTGCCATGGCCCCTATACTATGTCTCGAGACTGGGTTCTGGCTCCACGATATGCCCAGAGAAGTTGGGATTACGGTTGTTATTTTCGGCGTTTTCCTGCATGAAAGCTTTTGGAGCATTGACCACGGTGACGCGTGAGAGCTGAAGGGGGCCACAAAGGGATGCATGAAGTTCTATACGCTTCTGATAGAGGTGTACAAGGTCTCGCAGGGGCTTTACATTATCATTTTATAAATGGTCAAAGATTGCAAGAAGGTTTTTTACAAGATTTACAGGCGTTGGTAAGGGTTTCAATGTTGGCATTGGATGCTGTAGTGGCTCTTGCGTTCAAGTCCATGCCCACGTTAAGCATCGTGCCAGGTATCGGTCTAATATAGGGGCCTTAATAATTACTTATACTTTTTTTTGGGGGGGGGCGGGGTGGGGGTTTCCTTATGATAATTATAGTATAATGGGCCCCAAAACCTTATTCTAATTATTTATCAAGGCCCCTACATTGGAGAGTGGGGTGCCTTCAATGGGGACCGGTTGAGGTTCGGGCACTCCTTGGATTCCCTTGCTGGCGCATCGTGAGAAAGTGGCACGAGGGAAGAATCGGTTCCAAAGCATACTAAACTTCAGTTCCTCTTATTTCCATCGATGGTTTTAGGATTTAATGCTTAAGGGCTTAGGACTTCGGCTTGCGGGTCTAGTGTTGAGGTTGTCATTGAACATCGGTATTTGTTCTGGGTATTGGAGGTGCTAGAGATTGAGGGTTCTACTGACGAGACCCTAGCGTTTATGCCGAATGCTCGGAGAAGCGTATGTTGCGCACAGAATGTGCTCCTCCTAGAACCTCTTAGATGTGGCTTCCGAATGCCTGTTTGAAATGCTCTGCAGCCTTTCAGATGCTCTGACAAGCACGTGGTTACGCCTCAAAGTATGATTTGCTCCTGAATCCCCGAGGGTTTATAGGGTTTAGGGTTAGAGCCGTAAACTTGTCCCAAACGTAGGAATCAATTCCTGCATGGCGCTTGTGCATCGGATCTCAGGAACGGCCATATCGGTCTTGGCTCCAAGTGCGCCAAGGAGGTGCCTTTGGATCCCAAAGGAATGCAGACTCGCCAACATCCCCCACCCTAATTGAGCGTTAGGGTTTAGGAATTTAGGGTTTACCCTGCTTGAGGGTCTCTTTTGAAGAAACGTAGAAAAAGGTCCTGGGGGAAAGGGATGGACAAACACGGCGACTGGAGGATTGAGAGCTGCATATTCGCAAATCATACCCAAACCCGAAGATACTCGGAAATCATACAAAATTTAGGTGGATAGCCCTGAAAGCGTGGTTTGGGTTTCTCGCCGAAAGCTCTAGAAAATCCAGCTCTGGGCCTTATCTGCCGTATGCAGCTGACCCTAAGGCACCCGATAATCAGGTAGTCGGGTTTAGGATAATAGCTATGTAGGTTACTATTTTGGAGAGTATATGATAATTAGGTACTTGGACCCTTCGGGTGAGGTTTTAGGGTTTAGGGTTTAGGGTTTACGGCTTGGGGCCTTCTAATCAACACAACTTCCTTACCTTTGGTTAGAAGGGTATGGAGGAATGGGGTACAATTATGGCTACCATTACTACCATTCTTCCATTCCTGCTAGCCAAAGGTACGCCTCAAGAGAGTCAGGCCCGAAGGGAATCTAGAGTTTCTGGCTCTAAGTTGCATGCTGTAAGGGTTCGATGTAGCGTTGCTGCGCGGGTTACCGTTGCGGATCTAGAATTTAGTGTGTCAGCATAGAGGGTTTTTGTTAAAAAAAGAATCCTATTTTGGTGTCTCAGATGTTTAGCCGTTTTAGGTCTTCGGTTGACTGATTTCATGAGAGCCCCGGGTGTGCAGGTCGTACATCCTAGGGCTCAGTTCGGCCCAGGACCTAGGGTTTAGGGGGGTTTAGGGTTTAGGGGTTTAGGGGTTTAGGGATTAGGGTTTAGGGTTTAGTTTAAGGTTTAATGCTACCCTGAAAACCAAGCTTTGATTTGAAGGCCTCAAGAGCCCCAAAAATGCAACGCAAGAGGTCGCCACAGCCATCCGGGGCGGCATCATCGCGGCCAAGATCAATTTGATTCCCGTGCGCCGGGGTTTCTGGGGTAACAGCCCCCTGGCCGCCGTAAGTTTCGAGGTTTTCGGTTCGGGGTTCAGACTCCTGTAAAGCGGTAATTACTGGAAGTCAGTATCGCTATAAGGTGAAGGCCCGAGATGAGGGTGTTCAAGGGTTGAAGGGGGCTGTTGAGGGTTCCGTAGCGTTTGCGCAGGGCTCCATGTGTTTTTGCAGGGGGGAGCATAGGGAAGGGATCGCAGAAATACCAGCCAGCCGGATTGTCCTGGGAGTGGACTGGGTTGTGGGTTCAGCAACCTTGAGGGTTCAGGGCTATGGTTTTAAGGCGACGACCTTGCATACACTCCCCACACCACCCTCGTGTCAGGAAAAGAATTACTGAGAATGCTGATTCTGACATAGTTTAGGGAGTAGGCCTTCGTGGCTTTTGGATTATGGTTTATAGGCCTAAATCCCGAACCCTGAGCCGGAAATCCTAAACTGTGCACCGCTTTGTAAGCTGGCGGTCGGTGTCCTCTGTTGCTTCGCTGTGTAAGCCCGCAGCTGGACCCCGGACTCGGTCTCAAAAGAACAACCGTAAACTTCAAACAATGAAACCGAGAACCCCAGAACCCTAAACCTCTGATCTCTAAACCCCAAACCCAAACCCTAGCTTAGGATTCAGACCTGTTGCTGAGGAATCGGCCTCCCCCACACCGTGCCCATGAAGGCCCGCGCTCGAAGAGCCCTGCAGTAGGGTGTAGGGTTTAGGATCGGGGCCAGAGTTTGGAATTTCGGGTTTCGGGTTTAGGCCGGTTCAGGCTTTTATGTGTTGTCAAAACAATACCAAGTTCAGGCCCCACACTGCATCCGTCAAGCCTGGGGAACACGGTGGTGCAGTGCTGATGAAGGAGCCACAACAGCTCATATGCTAATTCGTTCAGGTATTTAAAACGGATAGAAAAATTTCGAAAAGGTTCACATGCAAAGAAAGCAGCACATCACGGCGTTTGCTACAGGAGTCTTCATAGAACCCTCAGATGCCCTTGAACACCCTACACACGCCCCATCAAAACCTGAAACCAACGCCAAAGCTGCCTACACAAACCCAGTAACAACTCATCGAACCTTTTAATTCTCCCGCGAACCCTCAACCCTAAACCCTATAAGCCCTAAACCAAAAAAGCCCTGCAACCTACCGGAAACTCCAAACCCTAAACCCGGTATAGAACCCTTATACATCCCTTTAAGGTATCCTTAAAGGATCCCTCTAAAGGAACCCTAATTCCCGGAAGCCCTGAACCCAGCCCTGGAAACCCCGTAGGTCCATGGCAAGTGCGGCTCCGTTCGCTGCCGACTAATCCCGGCACCTCGCGGTTCCGGCATCGTCGGGTCTGGCGCCTAAGAGAGGGACTTACGGCTTCAGGGTTTTTGGGTTTAGGGGTTTAGGGGTTTAGGGGTTTAGGGGTTTAAGGGGTTTAAGGGGTTTGGGGTTTAGGGGTTTAGGGTTTAGGGGTTTAAGGGGTTTAGGGCTTCAGGGTTTTTGGGGTTTAAGGCCTTTCGGGTTTAGGGTCTGGGGCGTCAGAGTCTAGGGTTTAGGATTTAGGGTTTAGGGTTCAGGATGTAGGGTTTGCAGGGTTTTTTGTTCTTGGAAACTAATAAATTACAACTTTTAGTTTTATGATTCTGGTTTCATTTCGAGGCATCATCAAGCAGATTTGTTATTGTGGTTCTCAGAGCGCTTAAGAAGAAACGGCTTCCGGTTCTGAAGAGGTTTTTAGCGTTTTCTTTTTCCTGGTTTCGGTGATCTTAGTCTTAGGGGTTTGGGGGTTAGGTTCCTTCCGGTTCTGAAAGGGTTCTTGGTGTCACGGGTTTGGGGATTTTAGGAGAGGGATGGGGGTTCAGGGAGAAGGGATCTAGTGGTGCAGATTGTAGCTTTCAGGGCTTCAGAGTGAAAGGGTGTAGTAGGGCTTTGCGAGTCTGTAGTCGAAAGTTGAAGAGACCGGTAAGTAAGGGTTTCGGGTTCGGGTCAAGGTGTAGGGCCCTAAACCCGAGAGTAAAAGCCAGAAAGTTGGAATATGATTATCCTAAACCCTTTATGGTAAATTATAGGGTATCCTACCCCGAAACCATATTCCAACTTTCTGGAGTTACCCTAAACCCCGAAACCCTGAACCGTTAATCGCTAGGCAGGAAGAGGGCTTTGCTGCCGATTCTTCCGAATTTTCAGTATAGATTGAGACACTCAAACAAGGTCCCCACATAATATCGGAACCCCCCCCCCCCCCCCATAGTAGGATGCCAGCCCGGAGCATTATTAGTTTCAATTTTATTGTTGCTCCTATTTCTCGAGGTGGATGGTTCGGTGGTTCAGGAGCCTTTTGCATCGACTGCTTTGCTTTTTGTTGCCGAGGCAGGCTTTGACATTTGGGAGTTGAAGGCCTGGTCAGCCTTTTAGTTGCCCATCCATCCATCCATCCATCCATCCGTCTGTCTATTCGTTTATTTGCCTACTTAGGCTATCTACAATCGATCTATCTATCTGAATTTCTGAACCTGAACCCAATTCTCAAACCCCTCTAATGGCCTCCACCGGCAGAGGTCTCCTGTGATGAAGAGACTCGGCTGCACCTTCGTCAGCTGCACAGCTGAAAGGACTCAGCTGTAGAGCATGGACCTCAAGAACTCACAGATACATATTCCAGACCCTGCACCCTGCGCCAGGGGATATAGACCCTAATTCCTAAACCCTAAACCCTATAGACCCTAAACTCTAAACCCTAGACCCAACTTGTCAAGCACTCCCAGCCCTGAACCACGAACTTTGCTTTGGCTCCTTCTGCGAGCAATCTGCCATTGGTCTTTGCTTGAAAAATCGAAGCCCTCTAGAGGGCGGATCCTGAGACACTGGCGTCCAACTCTGAGGGTGAGAACCCTAAACCCTGTATTCTGAAGTCCGACTGTTTGGGTGTGATCCTCTTTTGAGAGATGGCAGTGACGGAAACAGAGGTTCATATATGCACTACTAAACTCAGGGTGCCTCTAAAACTACAATCCTTAAACTCGAGACGCGCCAAACCCTATACCCCACACCCTCAACCCTAAAACCTCCAACCAGTCGTGGAACTTCTCTGCCAGTCTTGCCGTCGTTTGTCGAGTATGGTGTGGAGCTTATCCACAACAAGTCTGATCCACGAGCTCGCATGACAGGATTTGTTTCTACGGTTCCCCAGGTGTTTCATCAGGCTTCCATGAGTGTTCGCCAAATGCGGTTGCATAGTCTGTGTTTCGCAGGTTTGGTGAGGTTTCATTACGGTTCCATAAGGTCATAGGGGTTTCGGGCCAGGGAGTTGGGTTTTGCTGTTAGGGTGTAGAGTTTAAAGTTGAAAATTAAGGTATATAAGACGTCCCCAGAAAGCCCCGTAGAGCTCAAGGAGCTCCCACAGATCGGTACGAAAACCCAAGCCTGAACCTTATATCAGCTGTCGAGGGTTTCGAGGGTTTAGGGTTTAAGGGTTTCAGGGCGTTTAGGGGTCTTGAGGGTTTGCAACGAAGCTATGAAGCTGCATTCTCGTTTTGTCTACGGCATCCCTGGCGCCTGACCCTAAACCCTAAACCGCTAAACCTGTAAACCCCAAACCCCTAAACCCTAAACCCTGAACCCTACACCCTAAACCCTGAACCCTAAACCCTGAACCCTACACCCTAAACCCTAAACCCTGAACCTCAAACCCTAAACCTTTTTTGAGATGTGCAAACCTCTATGAGGCAGGCCTGTCTGCGGAACAGAAAAGGGTCGATGCACTTTGAAAAAAACCCTAAACCCTGAACCCTACACCCTAAACCCTACACCCTAAACCCTGATGCACTTTAAAAAAAAGAACCTACACCCTAAACCCCTAAACCCCTAAACCCTAAACCCCTAAACCCTGAACCCCTCCTAAACCCCTAAACCCTAAACCCCTAAACCCCTAAACCCTAAACCCCTGAACCCTAAACCCCTCCTAAACCCCTAAACCCTGAACCCCTCCTAAACCCCTAAACCCTGAACCCTAAACCCCTCCTTAAAAAAAAAAAACCCCTCCTAAACCCCTAAACCCTGAACCCCAAACCCCAAACCCCCCTGGCGTCTGAGGAAGATGATGGCTTTCGCGGGGATCTCCGACTGCTTTACCTGCTCCTGTGGGCACACCAGGCCTTTCTCAGCTAGGTAGGCCTTTGGGACATATATATATATATATATATGTATGTATATATGTATATATATATATATATATATATATATATATATTTTTTTTTTTTCCTTTTATTTGGGCCTAATAGGACCCTATTTACGAATATTTTTTCAGAGGCTTTAACGGGCCAACCTAGTCAGGGATTAGTCTTTGCAAGCCTGAACTCTTAAACCCTAAGCCCTTAAAAGCATCAAAAAATACCCTATATATACCCCAAGTCCTAAACCGCGAGTGCTTCAGGTGGTTTTGGGGGCTTCGTGGCTCAGCGCAACTAAAGACATTTGGGGGCTTCTCTTGAAGGTGAGGTCGCAGGGAAAATGGGAGTTTCCGAATATTAAGGGTTCCTTTAAAGGGGTCTATAGGGGTTCTATAAAGGGTTTAGGGTTTAGAGTTTCCGAATATCAGGGGTACCTTATTCGGGTCCTTATAATACGGATGTTATTATGTAGGGTTCTACATTCGGGTCCCCTATAAATGGGAGTTTCCGAATATTTTTTGGGGGGGTACCTTATTCATGTCCTTATGATAAGGATGTTACTATCTAGGGTACTAAGATTAGGGTCCCCTATTTTCGGAAACTCCCAAATGATCAAGCCGCCCTGGACCCGAAACCACGAAACCGTAGAACCAAGCCGTGAAAACCATGAAGCCTCAACTCTAAGAATCCCTGGTGATGTAGGCCTTCATCCTAAACCCTATAAAGCCCTGCACCCTATAATAACCCCTAAGCCCTAAGCCCTAAACCCCAAACCCCCAAACCCTTAAGCCCTAAACCCCTAAGCCCTAAACCCCTAAACCCCTAAACCCCTAAGCCCCCTAAACCCTAACCAGCTTCGTGAGCCTCGCAGGACCACGGCCAACTTTGCCAAAGCCACCTTCGAGGCTCTCAAGGCCCCACCGGATTTTTCCGTTTGGGAGGGGATTGTGGGGTGCTGTTGTGGTTTATCATAATGTAGGAACCTGATTAAGTAACCCTGGGCTTATAACCCCCCAAAATAGTAGGATTCATACAAGGAACCCTACTAAAGGGCCAAGGTTTCTTCATCAGGTTCCTACGTTAGGTTTGTTTAAACAGGTAGGCAGGGTTGTGTACAGGTTTGAAGGTTTGGTTTACTCTTCATGATCGCATCTTCTTGCGGCAGCATTGTTTCAAGAGAGCTTCTGAACCGACTACATAAAGAAAGAGAGAGACACATGGTCATGGACGTGTACATGGGCAGGCAAGCAAGCCTTTGCAATTGGGGCGTAGGGGTTAGGATTTAGGGCTTTAAGATTAGGGCTTCAAGAATTTAGGGATTTGAACCGGCCCGAAACAGGAGGATCCTCAATAGAAGTGTTCCTAAAGAAGGTACCCCTAACTTCAGGGATCCGCGCAAAATCTGTCCCCCCAAACATCAACCCGGACCATAAGCACAGAATCCTGCTCCCTACATGCCCCAAAACCATACCCTATACAGTACAGGGTGTAGGGTTTGGGTTTAGGTGTGCCGTTGCTGTGAACCAGAGCAGACAAAGTCCTAGCAGCGGAGGCGACCTACGGCTACCTCACCCCGGACTTGTGGACGAAGACGACTTTCACCAAAGCTCCTTTCCAGGACAGCCTTCAGGGAGTTTCAGTCTCCAAGCCATAAGCCAAACACCCTAAATCCTAAACTCTTATAGACACAAAACCCCTAAACCCTAAAGCTTAAACCCTAAGTCCTAGACCCTTAAACACTGAGCTCGCTCTCTAAAGACCCTCATTACCGTCTTCAGCTCCTCCAGCCTTCAGAAGAGCCTCCACGGACTTACTTATGCAATCGAATCCCCGGAGCTCTCATCGACCCATCCATCGGCCTTAAAGCTTAGTTCCAAGGGTAAAAGGAGGGACAAGGACCCCTAGGTATATACCCTTAACATAGCTAGTATATACCCATTACATAGCCCATTATAGGGTAGGGGTCCCTATTAAGGGTCCCTCCTTGTCCCCTTTGATTAGTAGCAGAGCCAGGTTTTCGGGGTTTTGGGTTTGTTTAGGGTCTGAGGGTGGACCTTCCACTTTTCGGGGGGCATTAAAGTCCCTGTAAGTAAAACATGAAAGCCGTTACATCAGGGTTTAGGGGTGAGGTTTAGGCTTGAGGACGCGAGAGAGGCAGCTGCCCATGACTTACATAGGTTTCAGATGATGCCCTCATCGCAGCGAGCCTATATGGAGGTCTATACAGTTACAAAATACTGTGCCCTTTCAGTCCCTGTATGCTGAGAGTAGTAAAACCCAAAATCCTAAACCCCAAACCCTAAACCCTAAACCCCAAACCCTAAGCCTGAAACCCTAAACCCTAAACCCTGAACCCTAAAACCCTACCCCAAACCCTAAACCCCAAACCCTAAACCCTAAACATACCCCAGAGTGCGATTTATTTCCGGCCCTGATGGTGCGGCACAGGAGTGGTCCGATTACCTCGCCCAGAGCAAGAAGGCCCCTGGGAAGTAGAAACCTAGAGATCCCTTTAAAGGAGCCGTTAAAGGAACCCTTGTAGACCCCTTTAAGGGAACCCGGGACGTATCTGACCCTGGGAAGTAGTGATCCTGCGATGCAGGGTTTAGGGTTTAGGGCTTAGGGGTTGAGTGTTTAGGGTTTGGGGGGTTAGGGTTTAGGGCTTAGGGCTTAGGGGTTTAGGGTTTAGCGCTTAGGGGGTTAGGGTTTAGGGTTTGGTGTTTAGGGCTTAGGGTTGGTTCGGGATATCTTGTGCTTTGGGGCTTCAGAGTTTCTGCTATTGCAGTGAACAGGGTATGGGGCGCAGAGATTTGCAGACTTTGAACTTGGCTGTTGGGAGCTTTACCAAGGATGGGAGACAGCATCGTGGGGGGTTGGGGACGTGTGTCGGTGGGGATCGAGATTGGGGCTGCGCTGATTTTGATTCGTTGAACTTGTCCCGCGAGAGTCAACAAGTGGAAGGCGGCATGGGGAAATCCCGGAGCGCCGACTATGACAACACCGTTCCCTGGTAGTTTAGGAACCTGATTAAGAAACCCTGGGACTATAAGCCCAAACTAGTAGCGTTAGAGAACCCCAATAAAGGCTCAAGGTTTTCTTAATCAGGTTCCTGCATTACCAACAGCTTCGCACAAGACATCTGGCAAGAGCTGCGGCCCCAAACCCCAGATCCTCATCCCAGATCCTCACCCCAACACCCCGAAGTCGCACTCGACCCTAAACCCTCGGCGCTGTAATAGATCCCTTAAAAGGCACCCAGACAGGAAGCCTACACCCTTTATAGAGATTCCTTGAAGGCACTCTCGAGACCTCGAAATGCGCATCCCCCAAAGAGTCGAGGCTGTCTCGTACTGAAGCGCTTGAAAGAACCGTGCCCGGGAACCTCCGCAGAGTTGAGAAGAGAAAAAGGAGTCTTACACCACTGTAGGGGCCTAAATAATTACGTATACTATTCTGGAGGGGCTCCTTATTATAAGTATAGTATAATGTACCCTATAGACCCATTCTAATCAGTATATAAGGCCCCCCATATTATCGATTTGGGACAACGGTTTACTTCCCTTATTGTTCCATGTAGAGCCCTGGTTATAGATAACTTTGGGGACTGTTGACATCGACACCCAGATCGGTGATTAGTTTTCAAGCGAGCAACAAAGGCTTTATGTGAGTCGTCAGAAGTTGTCTTTTGTCGGGGTCGTTATGGGCTTTAGGGTTTTATAAGTGTCGTCATAGGTTTTCAAGAGCTTGCAGCTTGCAGGACTTTATACCAAAGGGGAAAAGGAGGAACCCTTAATAAGGACCTCTAGGTATAGAACCTTAATATAGCTATTATATGCCCATTATATGGTCCATTATAGGGTAGGGGTCCCCATTATGGGTCCCTCCTTTTGCCCTTGGATTACACAAGGCACTCATAGGTTGCTTGTGCTTTCGGGTTCTTCTAGGCTTCATTTTCGGGTCGGAAGAATTAGAATAGGGTTTTGGGATATGTCGTACCCAGAGATCCCAATACCACTTAATTCAGGAACATACCTTAAATCATAATATTAGCTTAGCTCCTCTCTAATTTAAGGTATATTCCTGAACTAAAGGGTTTTGGGAGATGTTGTGCTACAGCAGGGATCCTAGTCCCGAATCATAAGCCCCTCAAGCCTTCAACAGCCGCAAGATTAGGGACCCCCAGAAGAACATAAGCACACACGTTTTCTGGAGATATCCCTGCCTTATTGTTAATATTGAGCTTCATTAGAAGTGCGTTTGTACGGGATACCCCTATCCTTATGTTTGCTTCTGTGCTTGTTTGGGGCCTAGAAGAGTCTCTTGCGGCCGGCTTCATTGGCTCAGAGACGGGGCATCTGCACCTCGGCCTGCGCTGCGCCAAACGCCAAGGTCTCCTAGCCAAAACTAACAAAACTAAACGGTTCCGAGACGGGTTCAGGGCTTATTATATAGGGTTCAGGGTTTAGGGTTCTGGAAGCGAGACTACCTCAGGGGTTGTAGGGTGTTGCTTTGTTTGAGAATTGTGGGTTGTTTACAGGTTGGTTGTTAACTAAGCTCCGTTTTATGGTAAGGACGAGCTTGGCTGATTCTTCAACTGTGATCTCACAGTTTGATTGCAAAGAAAGTGACGGCGCATGTAGGGTGTACCTGCGTTTTGCTTAGGTCTTGGAAGGTCTCTCTCGTTCTGCTTCATGTATCACAAACTTTTCGGAGAGATTACCCGACGCCCCAGGCACCAACCTACAGCTTCCACACCTTCAGCCCTAAACGGGAGCCTAAACCATACTGGCTCAAAGTTACCTTAACACAGCCCTACCCTCCCAAGAGGAGGTGCACCTTCAGGTGTGACATTAGGGTTTGCAAGCGGCCCCGAGAAAACAAGCGACCCGACATAATAGGATAAGGACCGATGCTGAACTCGCATAAAATCTCTCGTCAAGTACGTTTACCATATGCGTAGTTTTCAAAAATATGGTCCCTTTTTTGGGTACCCTAGATATTAGGTGCCGTACTATATTAGGGACCAAAAAAAGGGACCATAACCTCGACAACCGCCCATATTTAGAAACCTTACCAGATTGACTTTTTTAGCGAAAGCTCGACATGAATCTGTTGGAAAGCTCCCCAAGCTGCTCCTTGGTTATAAGTTAGAAGCTGCCCCCACCCTGTAATAGTGGTATAATAGGAATATAATAGGGCCCAAATATAATCCTTTATAATCTTATGAAAATCTGGTTCTGCTAACACTGGGTTGGGGCGCAGAAGCCTAATAATCCGTTTAGAATCCGTTTTGGATGCATGGGGGAATGCGTTTGGTAATCCGTTTGGAATGCATGCGTTTTCGCAGGTCCGGTTTGGATGCGTTTTGGATCCGTTTTGGATGCGTTTTGGATCCATTTTGGATCCGTTTGGGGCCCCAGCCTCGGAACACCAAAACGGATTTGCAACGGGCCCCAAACGGACCCCTGACGGGTCCGCAGGCGGGTCCCCCAGATGGGTCCCCGGCGGGTCGCCGAAACCATGAATCCCTCGACAGGGATCCGTTTTTAATCCGTTTGGGATCCGTTTTAAATCCGTTTTGGATCCGTTTTGGATGCGTTTTGGATCCGTTTTGGATCCGTTTTGGATGCGTTTTGGATGCGTTTTGGATCCGTTTTGGGGTCCCGGGGCTTGCCTGGTGTTCGGCGTGACCCCTTTTATTTGGGTGTACCGATTCTCGCACCACGATTTGGGCTAGTACCCTTTTCTTAAGGGGAGGATGCCTTAACATCTACTTTTGGGCCTCTACCTGTGCAACTTATACTTCAAACACGATTCAGACCTCTATATAAGTGCAGAACACATTTCGGACTCGTGGGGTCAGGAATTAGAAACATTCGTACCACACCACCCAAGACTTTGAGACCTCGCCCTCGATTCCGAAATCTTCCCTTGACTGAGGACTGAAAGCTGAATAACCAGAAAAAACCAGAACCCCTTTCCAACCTCTGTGTTTCCAGCGGCTCGATCGGTGTCCACGGCCACAAGCAGCGATCGAACAGGCAGCTTGGAGGGTTCAGACAGTTCTGGGTAGTGATAAGAGTAGTAGTACTAGTAGTGGTGGTGGTGGTGGTCGTAGTACTGATGGTGCTACTCGTAGTGAAGTAGAAGAAGAAGTAGTAGAAGTAGCAGAAGTAGTAGTAGTAGAAGTTGTAATTAGTCGTAGTTGTAGTAGCAAAAGCAGAATTAGCAGCAGCAGTTTCAGAAGTGGTGGTAGTGGTAGTGGCAGTGGAAGTAGTAGTTGTTATAGTAGTAGTGTAGCAGTAGCAGTAGCCGTAGCGGTAGTGGTAAGGGTAACAAGTGCTAGTAGTATTAGTATACGTAGCACGAAGAGCAGTAGCAGTAGAGGTACTCGTAGTCGTAGCACTTGTCGTTTGTAGAGAACATGCGGCTGCTGCTCGCGACTGCTGGCGACTGCTGGCCCTTCACAGCTGCCTAGCTTCGATGCTCGGAATGAATTAGCTACATGCCCAGCTTCTCGAACTCTAAGTGGTATCGGATGAGCATCCGCTGCATTGTGCGCTGCCCGCATGTACGTGCTGCAACACGCCGTGAAATTCGCGAGCATATGCCAACGAAGTCTTCGCTCATGTCAGTCAAATGAGCAGCCGGGGACATAATTGCCTGCGCTCCGGTAGCCAATATGCGTACCAGTCGAACTTGCACGTGCTTGAACATATGCAAACTCGGTTCGAGGTGGTACAAAGATTTCCCCATCCGGAAAAACTCCATAGCAAGATGCTTGTAGCATGCACAGAAAAGCTCGACCGAAGCGGCTGCTGATTCAGCTTCGCTGCGAGAAAGCCATAAGCCGTTCTTGTGCAATATCTGGAAGAAACGAAGACAACCACAACAAGCATCCTCAATAGCTCTGCAAATCTCACCTTTCTCAGGATCCTGAAGCCACGTGCGCCCGGAACGTCCAGACCCGTCTGGCAAGACAGGCCCATGTCTCAGCAGCAACAGCAGCCATCGCATAAGCATCATTGAATCAGCCGCTTTCCATCCTTACATGGGAAGCACTGCAAACGGGAAGTGCAACGAAATTTACTACTTATATCGAAGCAACAGAAACCCAAACGAACAAAAACGAAATGTACCAGGCTCCACCATATGGAAAACAAGTGCGGCGACCCCAGTGAAAGCCTTCCTTCGAAAACATCTTCAAGTTGGGTGTTTGTTTGATCTCATGCCGGCAGCAAAATACGAAGTCATCGTGTGATAATTCAAGGAGTGCCGCCACACTGTCGTCTGTACCAGGAATGAAGCCCCAATCACCCAGTGCCACCACTGTTGAAGCAATGAAATGTCGAGCTATTCCGAGCTTCACCAAGTGCATGCAGTCTGACCTAAAGATTTTCTCCGGCGCTTGCAATGAAAAAGGTATCGGCAAGAGGCACGATGGCTTTCGACGAGTCCAAGGTCTTTCAGCAAACAGTGTGTCCAACCATGGTGCCGATGAACTCATGTCCTCCCAGGCTCCATTGCCTGGTTTTCCTGCTAAACAAAGGTGGCATACTCCACATGATCCCTGGATTCGTTGAAAACTGCGAGTGAACTGTCCAGCCTTGTTCAAGGCAGGGGAGTCCCCTTTCATCCCGATAACAATCGGGAACCAAACCTCTCCCGATGCATCCTGGATTCCGCTTGTAAATAAATCTGCTAAATCCTGAACAGCAGCACCGAATACGTCGAACCAGAATTGCTTCTGCTTCTTTTTATATGCTCTGTGTGGAAGCACATACAAAAGCAGCCGGGACACGAGAGAGTTGCCCCGCCCCGTATGGTCTGAGCCCTGCCAACAAGTCTCGAACGTCCATCCTTTTGACTCAGCCAGCTTTTGACAATTGCCAAATGATTTCTGTCCCCAAACAGTCTCTAGCCCGACCACTTGAATCGGCGCTTTGCGAAGGCCGCGACCTTCGTCGGCATAAAGCATCACGGGGAAGCAGCGTTTTAAACGGTGACCGTGAGTTTGGTACACGAGGTGGTCACCGTCTTCCAATTGGTAGGCTGCCCAAAAAGCTTCTATGAATGTATCAAGACCAGGGTGACCACGGGGGAACCCGCCGAAAAGCACCCCTGGTTTCCGGCACAAGTAATACTCGAGCACTTTCGAAGGTTTGCACATTGGAGCGAAAAGTATGCCCTTGCTGAAATAGTACATGTCGATGGGCAGAGAAAGCCCCCACTGCCGAATGACCCGGTGCAGCCCAGTCTCGGCGTGTGGCAACGTCGATGCTGATAGTGTTTTCACCCCTTGCAAGAGCAATGGCTGCTCTTCTTCAATAGCTTTGGCAAAGCGAACCACGTTTGCGGCCGTATCCTTATGCTCGCAGAATCTATAGGAATCACCTATGCTCAAGAATGGAAACAATTTGAAATCATACCGTGTGTATCCCATTAAACACCTGCTGTTCACGACAAGCTGCTCCCATTGCCAGTGAGGTAACCAGCTTGCGAGCCGTTGGCCCCGGCGTCCATCCTGCGTAGGGGCATGCACATGCTTATACAGGTTTGTGTGTGTGTGCATCCTTGCCAAAGCCATGTTAATCAAATCGAAACACTTGGTATGTGTGTGCATCCTTGCCGAAACCATGTTAATCGAATCGAAACACTTGTGCCTCAGCGTGCATACATGGCACATCCTTTTTCATCACCCGGCATCGGACAGGTTCGCACTGCACAGCATGAAAGACCGCCCACGGTCCCTCCTAAGCTGCCTGCATTCCCATCTCGATCACACGACGGTCGCTCTACGCAGACTGCTTTCCGGTCTTACGTTTCGGAGCACATTTCGGATCGGCCTTTGGCCCGGGTGCCTGCTTTGCTGCAGCAGCTTTTGCTTTTGCATCCGGTTGCGCTTTGCGCTTCGGTGCCGCTGCTTTTGCCCGCTGCTCAAGACTCACACTCTCGAGGGCCCTCGGATGTACGTATAGTGAAAGTATATACAGCCCACTAGAATGGTACACAGCACTCAGCACAGAAATACTCGCACATAGCAAAGTACCGGATTGAGCCACGTTGCGTGCGCTTGGCCTTCTTGTAGAAGTCCTTGAGGCTGTCCAGCCTCGGAGCACATGCATCTCTAGTTGTGCGTGTGTGTGTGTGTGTGTTTGTGTGTACCAGTGCATGCTGTTCACGTACTGAGCACACATGAAGTCCAGAACTAATCAAGAACCCCAGAAGCCGTAGCACCAGGAGCTCGTATGAACATGAGCTGCAAGTGTGAGTTCAACATTGATAATTTTGCCTAGCAACATTGCAGTTGTGTATCCTTCCACTGCACCATCGCAGTAGGTTTCATCGATCTTGTCGTAGCATTCATCAAACTTCTTGATGGAGTTCTGCAGCTTCTCAATCAGCCTCGGCTTCGCATAGATGATGCAGCAGCTCGGGTCGGGATTCGAGGGTTGATTCAAGGCCTCAGTAACCATATGACACATTTACGATTTGGCGGTTTGCTATTGGTCTTGATTGGGATCACCGGTTATTTTTGTATGCATTGGTGATTCGGAGCTGAGATATAAGTTTAAGGGTTTATATAATGCTGGGGTCACACAGACATACATACACATAAGTCTGCCACATAAGGGGGTTTAGCATTGATCGAAAAGTCTTTATCTGGTTTTGGGATATGACTGAGATGATGTTAACTGTCGCGGTTAGGGGTCAACACACACTGTGCGCATGAAGGCTTTGAGTCTTCACATTGGATTGGGTACATTTGACCGGGTTCGGGTTTGCTCGGGGTAGTGTGTGGCTTGGTATAGTGTTCAATGGCAGGGTTTGGGTTCGGGCTCGGAAAATCCTTAGGTGGTTCTAGTATATAATGCGGAGGAGTGAAAGATCAAATGAAACCCACCATATATTTGTAACCATCTAAGGCGGGGCACGAATTGATGTTGTTATTGCGCTCGGAAACAGGGGTGGCTTCCAAACGGCCCAAAGCCTCGGCGATCTTGGTGGACCGAACCTGGATAGCATTCTTGTAGGTGTTGGCAAGATCCTGGGGTCGCTTGCCTTCAATCGAAGGCAACCCAAGATCATCGTCAGGACCCGGAGCTCCTTAGGAAAGGCCCAGGCAGAGATATAGTAACATATGATGATGCAACCCTGACAATGCCGGTACTGCTTAGCATCCTCCACCCACGACCTTTTGGTCACCCATGGTGGCATCGAAGCCCGAAAGATCGAAGGTGACATCTTTGCCCAGCTCCACTTCGTTGCCTTCGCCACCGACCTCTTGCTCGAAGGATACCGTCTCGGACTCCCTAACAAGTTGCGACTGCCGCATGCTAGCCGAGCATTTGGTTTCCATCCAATACTTCATCGGCTTTTTCTTGTTGTAGGTGTCAGCCTGGGATGAAGTGGGACTTTAGTTGTTGGGGTTTGTTGAAGCTAGCTAGGGCTAGGGTTCTATAGACATCATCTATTGCATGCTGTGGGGCACGTCTGAAGCTTTGTGGATTGGCATCGCCAAAGGCGATGATGTCACGGATGCGTTCCCTTAGATTTCGGAAGGTCTACAGTCGGTCTTGTCAAGTCTGTCAGATTAAGGCAACAAACAGCCCAAGCCCCCTAAACTTAATGACTCAACAACAAGTGGCTCAGGCACATTCATGTCCTTCATCTCTTGCTCCGTATAGTAATCCCCGGTAATCTCCAACGATACGGCCTTCTCTTTCTGGGTCAGCACAACAACCTCCTTGATGAAGCTCTCCTGTACATACAGATGATTCTATGTATCATTCAGCAAACAAAGAACTGAAGCACAAAGATCGGAAATGACCAACAACTAGGTTCAACAGCTATAGCATGCACCGTGAGAATCCTTTTGGAAGTTGTGTTTGACCAGCAACTTGAGAAGGCCCTCGCGCTCGTTGCCACCAGCCACGTATTTGTCAACCACCTCTTTCGGAACAGCATACGTGCCGTTAGCACGAGGGGCACAAAGCCTCCTCAATCGTTGCCTCGCTGCTGGCAGGGCGACCTGGTCCTCCTGCTCGGCCTTGGCTGCTCCGTTGGCAGCCATCTGCCCCTCAGCGGCAGACTGCATAGCTTCACGTGCAGCTTCACGAGCAGCTTCACGTGCAGCTTCACGTGCCGCTTCCTTCTCAGCTTCACGCTGAATCTGAGCCTTGGGGCCATGATCAGCATGAAGCTTGGCATTCATCATGAACAGCATTTGCTTCAGCTGGGCAATCTCAGCATCTTTGGAAGTCTCACTTGAACCACCGGTGCTGCCATTGCCCTCTGCCATCTGCCCTGCAGCTTTCACCACTGCACCCTCCTCCGAATCGAGCTGTAACCCTAAGGCCTCGAACTTCTGCTGGAGGGAAAGGATCCCCGGGGTCTCTTGTGAGTGAACCATGGAAGTTCCCGAAGGCTTCGGAAGGCCTGTAGCACTTGAAGCCATCCCAGGATCCACTGCAACCGGCGGCGATGCAACCTGGGATCGTGGGCTTTGGATTTGGTGATGTAGTGACTCGGCTTTGGGTTGCTAGTTCGTGACAGGCTATCTAAATTCGGAAAGGTTGCTACATGGCCATCATAGGGGTCCATCTCGGTCGGTGGGCAAGGAGACGTCACCATGGTGTCCATGAAGTGGATGTGCCGCTTTGGGGTGATTCCAGGCTGGGTTTCGGCATCTGCCACGGGATCATAGGGAGTCTTCGAGGGACCAGGAGTCTTCGAGGGAGTCTTCGAGGGACCAGGAGTCTTCGATGGAGTCTTCGAGGTTGTCTTCGACGGAGTCGGAGTCTCGGGCTTGTAAGGACTCAGGAAGAGCTTTGCAGGCGAGACATCCATGTCATATCCATCCTCTAGTATAGGGTCCATCATCTGCTTGGTTTCTGGGCCTGGGGAGGGGCTGCCGAGCTGATCCTTTAGTGCTGTGAGCAGCACATCATCATTCTCCAACAGCACACAATCCAGGTCCCCGGAGTCCATCTGTGCCCTGTGCTTCTTAAGTGTGGGCTGAGGTGAAGGAGTGGCCCCAGCCACCGGCGTGCACCTCGTGCCACGCTTCGCATTGAGCTCCTCGCGCTCGATTTCAGCCTCGAGGGCCTGCCAGTCACTGTGGATTTCAGGGAGTAATTGGGCCTTAGGTCGACAAGTTAGGGCCGGGATTGGTCGGGTAGGACTACTTCAAGCATATAATTAGTATGGAATCCACACCTGTAGAAACCTTAGACCACATGCAAACCCTACATCAAACCCTACACCACCTGGGAATTGCTGGTTTGTCCTCGAGATTTTCTTAGGGCTTGCATGGGGCCTTTATAGGGGTTCAAAGGAGGGTTTGTTTATAGTCGGCTTGCATGGGGCCTTTATAGGGGTTCAAAGGAGGGTTTGTTTATAGTCGGGACACCTTACTTACACTTCCTCTAGGCCCCGTACCACCTCCTATGCATACCCTGTACAAGCCAAAACATCAACACTCAAAGCCAGGGTTTTGTCTTGGAGTCCTTTAGACTGTATTTATATACACATACAATATATACATATGTACACTTATGAGGCCTCATTATTTGTCTACGTAACATGTAAGACAACGTGTATAAGTTGTAGAATAGACTGTGTAGGTAACCGTACCGGTCTGGGTGTTCAGGAAGCCAGGCAGTGCTAAAGCTCTACATCGAGCTTTGGGTGGGATGACCATGTGTATATATATATGTATATATATATATATATATATATAATGTATATGAGTGTATGTGCATTATTGTTTATATGCAATGGTTCATTTTGCACTTAATTGTTCATTAGTTTAACCTCTAGTTCAAAAAACAACTGGCTCTAAGCAATCCCCTGCATGAGTTTCAAGCCGAAGCAGCACACTCCATGCAAGCATCGATCATCCCACACAAAGAACCCTGTACTACCACACTCTCAGACCCAATAGATTCGGCAACGATCTTCAAGATACCGAAAGAACCGAATAGAACACCCTCTCAATGTGCCCACCTTGATATCAGCATCAATCTGCTCGTCCTTGACCTGCTGCTGGTCCACCAAGGAAAGCGCTTCCTGCAAAGTGGCCGTGCTGAAAGACTTCGACACAAGGTGTCTCGTCTCAGGTGGGGCCTCCGACATGATCAGACGAGCCTCGAAAGGCCCCCTTGCTAAAGCAGCTAGGCACGAAAAACCCTTGAGGATCCCAGGCAATATCAGGCACGGGGCATGACTCAGCAGCTGCATGTGAGGCAAGTCAAGACTATGCCGGCTATGCATGTGGTATATTAGTTCATCGCAAGCTGACACAGCTGGCCCACTAAACTTCTCTCATGCTGGATTCGGTGCAACGATAATCCATGCTGCACTCAGAAGCCCAAATCGGCACTCAGTAGTACCTAGGGCAAAATAATTACCGGGGCCTCCTGCAGATGAACGGATAATAACAATTGGATTCAGGGATAACACCAATCCGTGTGCATATGGACTCAGTCAAATAGCCTTGCAGAGTGCATGCAACTTACAAACGATTTCAGCAGGCCCCGAAGCCGGTGTGAGCAAGCACACACCAGTCATTGTGACAGGTACCGTTGCTAGCATTTAAGCCACCAAAGAAGCTTCGCCACGGCTCTGTATTTATAAAGTGACAGCCATACCTTGCAAGACACACTATTTCCTAACATTGGGAAGCACAGCTATGTCCTTTTGGCCAAAGCACACTTCGGTGGGACAAGGCAACGATAAACCACATATGCAAAAAAGGGCCCAGCACCTGAAAGGTCAACCCCTTCCCCTCCCCTTCTGATGTTCATATTACCCGGACTGCCCTGGTAACGGCGGATAAGGGCGGCTTCTACGAATCCCACAGCGACTGGATCCCTCAGAGCTACCAGGACCTTCATTTCTGACCAGGCTTGGGTGGTGTCTTTGACATATCCGATCTGCCAACGTTCGACTGGGTTGCGAGTTATGCCTATCTTGTATATGGCAGGGTATTTGCCAAATACGGAGTTTATGGAGATCTCGCAGTGGTCCAGGATAGCAGAGGGTACAGTAGCCCCACATAGGTCGAAGACCACACGGCTGTTGGCGAAGGACGTGCTTCGAAGAGATGGTATGATGTCATCCAGCATTCTAGGCAAACCTGTAACCGTCTCAGGCAGCAGAGTAAGCCAGTGCCAAGGGTCGCGGTTTTGTTTTCGGGACATACCGGGCTTCTTCACTGTGAGCTCATTGGAAGGCACTGCAGGAAGGGATGCCACTTTCAATCGGATATGCAGGTCTTGGGCAAGGGCACGTAGATTTTCAATCTCCTGCTGAAGACTCCTTATCTGCGCATCCTTGCCACAGCAACAAGCAGCCGGTTGCGAGGCCAGCCAATCCTCGAACGTGACCTCTTCGTCTGTCTCCCAGAGACACGAACCCAAGCTCCGAAGTCGTTTTGCCATGGTGGGATCTTTGCTACGGAGTACTAGTAACTCTTGTACCAAATATGAGAAATAATTATCGGGTTTATACATCTCTATTGGGTGCAGTGTATATAGCTTTTCCAAATCTAGCATTGGGTTTTGAACATAAAATTCAAGGATTGCAGGAACTTCCTTATCGACACATCACATAGCACAGTCTGGAGGGTTGTGCAAGGCTGCTGATCGCTGGAGCACGACAGAACACTTGCATTTACCACTACAAAGGCACGAGCTGGGATGCTAGCTAGATCGTCTAAAACAACCACGGCCAGCGTTGAACTAGGCATGGCTACAATACTGGGTTTCTGGGGCACTTTGTGTGGGGAGTACACAGAATTGGCTGCGGGGTACCACCAAAGAGTGTAAGGGACGTTTACAAAGCATACAGGCACGTAGGGGCGTGTACGGGCGTGTACGGGCGTGTACGGGCGTGTACGCCCGAGCACGGTGCACGCTTATTTTCGGCCTTTTGTTGGGAGAATCCGGCCTATGTACGGGTACAGCTGTGTACGGGTTGTTTTGTCGGTACTACAGGCGTGTACGGGTTGCGGTGTCCCGGGGTGAACCCGAACCGAACCGAAGAGAAACGAACAGAACCGAACACACCCACACCCCACACACACAACTACAGCCCCCAAACTCATCGATAGAGCTTTAGCAGCCTGCCGAACCCCGAGCCCAGCCCCGACTACTCCCTTTCGAGAACAATAAGAACCCATCTAAGAGTCTTCATCGATTGCCCCATGGTGTGCATGCCAAACCTGAATCTGTAGCTGTTAGGTGTACAGTCTAACTCCAGTAACCGACCATGGCAACAGTTTGTTTCAGAGCAGGGTTGGCAACACACGTCGCCATTCTTCATTTGGGATTC